CATTAATAATATCTTTTCCAAAAGGGACTTATTAAGCCCTGCAAACAAAGGTTAAACGAGGTCAGACTGGAAGGCTGCTTTGAATCCGTTCTCCATAGGGAGACGACCACTGATGTAATGACACTTCCCATGCACAGCCTAAACTATCATTAAAGTCGGGTGCATGTGATTCATATGTTCCAGTTTCGGTAAAACTAGACTGGCTGACTAAAGGAAGTACATGCATACACTTGAAAATTGAATTTCACCAAAACATTACCAGGCTTAAATCAATAGCCGAAACTATACAAAATTAAGGTTTAAGACACACCTATGATACCCGTATCAAATACATCCAAATGGCAAAAGGAAGTGTACACTTGAAAGCTGGATTTGACCCAAATATTACCCTGCAGCAGGCTTAAACCAATCGCCGAAACAAAGGAAACTTGGGGTCACATCGACCTTACATCACAATCAAATAACCATTTCTTTGTTTTTTAGCCACCATCAAACATAGGTGTATACTTTCTTTAAGCCTCCGGCTTATCGGTGTTTTCTGAATCATGCGCGCTATAACTGCTCTAGTTCCATAGCGCGGCATGGCAGGAATTCTGCAATTACTTCGGTATAGTCCGGATTAACGTTTTTCGGCTTTATATACTCTTTTCTCAAGGACATCGGGGAAATTAGTGCCAGTACGTTTCACTAAAGATACAAAGGTTTATCTCAATGGTGTTTAAACATTTCACAAACTTTCTTATAGGTGTTTCCGAAAAAACAAAATGACGTCACATCATTACATTGTAGCACATGCGTTGAAGCTGATGCTATTCGTTTTTCACGACGTCATAGAATTCTTTTATATGAACTTATTCCCTAAGAGACCTGTGTAGATCCGGGGTAGAATAGGTCTTCAGCAACCCATGTTTGTCGTAAGAGGCGTCAAACGGGATCTGGTGGTCAGTCTCGCTGACTTGGTTGAAACATGTCATCGTATCACTGGATTGTCTGGTCCAGACTCGATTATTTACAGACCGACGTCATATAGCTGGCATATTGCTGAGTGCGGCGTTAAACAACAACCAAACAAAAAACATATTCCCTAAAATAGTATGTGATAAAAAGACAATGTAAATACGGACAAAAATACTATGTACCAGGAATACCAATATCGACATGGTAACTGTAAGGAGTCCGTGAAACATGTGCTTGAACTGCACGCCACCTGAGGCTCAGTATGACCAATGAAGCGTACTGTTTCTGCTTGACAAGACAGAACTTCGAATATCGTGACACCGCCCACACTGATCTTTTTTGTAATGACTTTTGCTTCTCCCAAATCAGAGACAAGGGGACGTCATATGCTAATTTAATTTCCCTTCGATCCCACGTTAATAAGTTAATTCTTTCTCTTCAATAAAGTCGCAAATGAAGCAGAATGACTAGCAAGCTTAAATGCTATTCAGGGGAGAAGCATGAGTACGATACACGTGGTTGTGATGTAAGTAATTGGTCTTGTGGTTAGCAGTGGGTATTAGTATGTATGTGGGTGGCTCTCAATACGCCATCTGATGCACGGTCATATGGCCATCTTCAGTCTATGGCCATACATATGAATAGGACTTCCTAAAATAGGATGGGATGAGATGGCAATGTCGTTGTTAGCCTTCAAGCGCCTAACAGGCAGCTTAGGGTGTGTACTCCCCAGGGAGCTCATCCAGTGACCGGAGTATTAATAGAGCTTTTAGCATGCCCCTGTGTGGTGTGGAAATATGCGCAATTTAAAAAAAATGGCCCACTGTAAAAAAAAGAAAATGGTTTCCAGGAAGATTGTAAGGAGGGTTGTAACGCTGTTCTTTAAGTGGATGACTTGGGTTGTAACGCTGTTCTTACTGTGGATGTGTTGGGTTGTAACGCTGTCCTTCAAGTGAATGACTTGGGTTGTAACGCTGTTCTTACTGTGGATGTGTTGGGTTGTAACGCTGTCCTTCAAGTGAATGACTTGGGTTGTAACGCTGTTCTTACTGTGGATGTGTTGGGTTGTAACGCTGCTCTACAGGTGAATGACTTGGGTTGTAACGCTGTTCTTACTGTGGATGTGTTGGGTTGTAACGCTGTCCTACAAGTGAATGACTTGGGTTGTAACGCTGTTCTTCAAGTGGATGACTTGGGTTGTAACGCTGTTCTTACTGTGGATGTGTTGGGTTGTAACGCTGTTCTTCAAGTGAATGACTTGGGTTGTAACGCTGTTGTTTCGTGAATGTGTTGAGTTGTAACGCTGTTCTTACTGTGGACGTGTTGGGTTGTAACGCTGTTCTTCAAGTGAATGACTTGGGTTGTAACGCTGTTCTGTTTCGTGAATGTGTTGAGTTGAATCGCTGTTCTTGCTGTGAATGTGTTAGGGATACAACTCTGTTCTTCAACTGAATGACTTTAGTCGTAACGCTGTTCCCTTTGTGAATGAGGCGTGTTAAAAAAAATGTTTTTGCCGTAAACAGATTGGGTTGTAAGCTGTTCTTGTTGTTCTTGTTTGCTTATTGCTTATTAACATAATAAGACACAACAGCAAACGATAGATTTAAAGGTCTGGTCAGGTCAAGGTCAGGTCATGGTCAGGTCAAGGTTAGGGTCGACAACATGATCGAAGTAGTCGGGACCAAGTCAGGCTGTAATCAAGGGGAAAAATAGGCCGTGAATGTTTCATGAACATGTTGTAGATGTGGTGAAACCTCGTCGCCGGTGACTGAATCAATCAAGGGTTTGCTGCATCGTTGTGTAATCGTACAAGGTCGGCGTAGAGAACTGTTATCGCACGTTTCCATTTAAGTAGTTTCTTTTCCTATTTGTTTTCTTCTGGTTAGGCTTAGGCCCCAGCAACTCGTAAAAGCGCTGATCAGACTCGGTGACTTGGTTGTTGGACTGTCATCCTACTCCAATCCTCCGCTAAATAGCAGTAAACGGTTTGTCTGGTCCAGACTCGATTACTTACAGGCCGCCGTGACAAAGCTGGAATATGAAGTGCGACGTTAAACAAGTTAAACAACTCACTCACTTTTGCTCATATTCACACTCTCAATTATTTGCACACCCACTTTCTACTCTAGCCAATTCACAGATAATACTAAAGCATATTCATTTTTTTTCAAACGCAAGTATTAAGCCAAGCAATGCAACTTGTTTCCATACATACATACATACATACATACATACATACATACATACATACATACATACATATCCCTCATTGCTGGAAATACGTATAGCCTGCCATTTAGTTTGATATTTGGGAACAAAGTAAGGGGAATATTTAACTTCTGAATTTACACTGACTATTTTGCCTTCAATTGGAGAGTAATTGAATCATTCCCCCAACATGGGCCCACTGGAACAGCCGTTCTTGTCCTCTGTGTGCTGGAAACGTAATTAAGCTGAGTGTAATCGCGTTACGAGATCCACATCATCAGCCCCAGACCAGTGAGCGAGACAGAGTACACTATCGGGAAAACACATAGCCATCACTACAACGTAGATCTTTCACACTATGGTCACCTGTCGCATATGCTAGTTTCAGGAGTATGGTGTAAAGTGCCCATTTACCCTTTGCCTAGTGGCGGCGGGTGGACATCAAAGTAACTTAGACATTGTACCAGCACCAAATCGCACAAGGCAAATAAATCTTATTATAAGGCAAATAATTCATATAAAGAGTATGATATGAGTAGAACTTGATTTCTGTCTCCTGTAGATAAAAAATCAAACGATATTCTGTGAACGACGTGATTGTTTGTTTGATTTTGTTTGTTGTTTTATGCAGCACTCAACAATAATCCTGCTCCATGACATGCCTTTACATATTCGTGTCAGGGCCAAGGAACACTATGCGTTATATCACGAACAATGTCCCTGGTATCGATGAGACTGGACTCATTACCCGATCAATGTGCGGCCTCGTGCGAGACACCCGTGAAGATCCGGGGTAGAATAGGTCTTCAACAACCCATGCTTGCCGTAAAAGGCGACTATGCTTGTCGTAAGAGGCGACTAACGGGATCGGGTGGTCAGGCTCGCTGACTTGGTTGATGCATGTCATCAATCCCAATTGCGTTGATCGATGCTCCTGACATCAATCACTGGATTGTCTGGTCCAGACTCGATTATTTACAGACCGCCGCCATATAACTGGAATATTGCTGAGTGCGGAGTTAAAAACACCAACCAACTAACGTTGTGCGAGAGCATGTATCTTAATCCGGAATCTTCACGTGGATTCTGTTCTAGTTTTTCAACTCTGATGACACAGATACAACATAACACATGTGTGTATTGGACACAGTTTGGCGAAACGAAAACTAATTACCAAACGACAACTCGTACAAGCTGTGGCCTCTCCTTGGCTCTTTGTCCGCGGCCAGCTGAGACCGACAGCAAATGTGGCTTTCTTGACTTTTCAAACTTCACATAAATGTCGGGAGGCAATTTAAATTTTCTATTTATTTTTTTCAAAATGCTTTGTAAGGCGTTTGTGTAAATTAATTATCAATGGATATGATATTCGCATGAAGCATGCGTGGGTATTAGAGCTACGTACGAATATAGTGTATTACATTATGGAAAGAAACGAGGCTCCACAAGACAAAAAAATTTACATGAGACGGGTTGTTTGTTATTTATTTCTGAAAATGTTTGATTCTCCAAGCCTCCCTGAATTCAACATTAAACAGTAGATGGTTCGGCAAATGATGTGTGCGAAGCTCGGCATGCTGATGGTTCTTGTTCAATTCCGCATTATGGATTGGTAGATACTGCGACGGAAACTCTGACACTAAAATTGTTGAAATATCAGATACTTTCTCTTCCACGCCGAAGAAACATTATTTACAGTCATTGTATTTAGGTCTGGTAGTAAATGCATAATATAAAAAATACGTCGTTTACTGAATAAATAAGTGTACTGTCCCTAAGAATGAGAATACTTTAATAATTGATGTCAATATTATAAGTATGTACGTGTGTTTCAGATCCCACAGATCAGCTACGCGTCCAGCAGTGTGGACCTCAGCGATAAGACAAGATTCGAGTACTTCTCCAGAGTCGTCGCCCCTGACACATACCAGGCCCAAGCAATGGTGGACATAGCGAAGGCATTCGGCTGGAACTACGTGAACACCTTGGCTGACGACGGCACCTACGGGGAAAAGGGAATCGGAGCGTTCGAGAACAAAGCAAAAAAATCAGGTATCAACAGATCATACGCATTATAATGAAATATCAACAATACTAACAGTTAATAATAATAATAATAATAATAATAATAATAATAACAATAATAATAACAAGATTCAAGAAAAAAACATGGTACTTATGCGGACCTCGCTTTTAAAATGTCACGCTTGCATCCCAAGTGCCAAGTTGTCCGACTCCCCATTGTTCTGGGTGCCTTACGTTTGGTACCTCTCAATCTGTTGACTGACATTGGGAGAGTAGCTGGGTTTGCTACCAGGAATAAAGCCCTTCTGACAATCTGGTTAATGCAGAAGGCTGCAGTGTTGGGGAGTCTTCACATTCTCCGAAAAGTTCTGGGTGGGTTTGACAGCAGCGCTTTCTTTGAGAAGTCCCATTCGCTGTCTGGGCTGCGTGTAGAGCGGGCAAGGGCCCTGAGCTGATGATGAGCCTAACCAGCCTGACTATGCCAGGATCGCCCAAAACCTGTTTGCTGCATTTTTTAGTTTAATCTGTACTGTAATTTCTTTTATAATGGAACGTTGATGTTGGGTTGGGTTTTTTTAATGCTCGCTTCGAAACGTGCCATACAAGACACTCAACTTTACGCTATTCTTATAAGTGATTGTTTGCGTGAGTGTTTTCAACGCGGCTTTGAGCACAATTCCAGCCATACCTCGGTAGGGGAATCAAACCTGGGCTATCTGTGTGACTGACCATGGACAGGCCTACAATCACTGGGCAACTCCGCCGCCCTAGTGGTTTATAATACCAACATACCTGTACACAACGCGCACAAGTGATCCTACAGCATCAAGGAATAGAATATCGTGTTTTTGTTTGAACGTTACAAAGTTACATTCGTGGAATCAAAAAACACTCCTCAAGCAAAATTGAATAATCAATTCAAGTTTTTTAAACCTACGCTTCAAGGTCACTACAAGTGAAAATGAAGACGAATGATGCAGTGGATCGGGGCCTGTTCTTTGTTACCTGATTAGGACTTTGGATGAAGGGGGCGAGTTGAAACCCCGAGGTTGCGTTGTTGCTTCCTCCTTGGCGTTGAGGCAGAAGGGCCTCCAATGCAGCATTAATGAAGGGGGAAAAACGGCCATGCATATTCCAAAAGTTCAGTAATGCCTGGGTCAAACTGTTGGCAGACAACACAACATAATGTCTTCTGCAATTAATTGTGATTTAAACTAAAAACATAAACTTGTTAATGCAAGTTATTTCATTATGAGCGATTTCGATTTCTCGTCAACAGAGATGAATGGAGAAAGCCCTATATCAATAGCGCGTATGACCTGGTATAATACAGAGTGAGTGAGAGAGTGAGTGAGTGTGTGAGTGGGTGGGTGGCTGTGTGAGTGGGTTGTAGGGTTAGTGAGTGAGTGAGTGAGTGAGTGAGTATGTGGGTGGGTGTGTGAGTGGGTGGCTGTGTGAGTTGGTTGTAGGGTTAGTGAGTGAGTGAGTGAATGAGTGAGTATGTGGGTGGGTGAGTGAGTGTGTGAGTGGGTGGCTGTGTGAGTGGGTTGTAGGGTTAGTGAGTGAGTGAGTGAGTGGTAGACAAAGTCAGTGTAGGGGATGAGGGGAATGGTCTCCTGAACTCTGATTACACAGTTCCTCTTAACACGAACACCGTAACCCCGTCATTCCGGAAAGCTTTCCCTCCAGTCAATATTATACTGACATGAATACATTAGGAGATAAACATTCTGTATTTTCAATGTAGAGCAGGGTTACCTATACATTTAATCGCGACAAATTGCATTTGGAACGAACGCGCAGCGTGAGGTTTCAAATGCTAGATTTAGCGAGGTTAAATCTACTGATAACCAAGCTCGAAAAAATCACACAGTTCTTTTATCTCTATTCCACCATGACTAAATAAGAGCTGTTTCGTGTACAAAATTAATACATTTAGAGAAGCGGCATGGGTTGAGTCCAGTGTTTTGAGTGGATTGTTGATCTAACTTATGGAATCACCGACAACAGCCTTCAAACAACATAGTCGCTGTATATGCTCAAGCAGCTTGTCTACACCGCTAAACTTTAACTCGAACATATGACAGGCATTGAAAGTTTTTAGTGAGTGTGAGTGAGTGAGTTTGGTTTAACGCCGCTTTTAACAGTATTCCAGTTATATCGCGGCGTGTCAGCTTAATGTGGGAGGAAAGCCCGAAGTGATGCAGGTCACAGACGTTTACCACTTCGGTGAAACCCACGGGCACGTGTATGGTGCTGACAAACCTAGAAACATAATCGAGGCGAACCGGGATTCGAACCCACAATCATAGAGTTCTGGCGTGCCCAAGGGACGCAACTCTGCACAGCGAATCGCGGCGCCTTAGACGACTGTGCCACCCGTGCCCCCTGAAAGTTTATAAGCACGGCAAGCTAACATGAGGTGAGCACCCCTATAGAAAACTAAGCAAGCTTTGTCACATGCATCAACCACGCCACCATTGTTATCATGTCGCTCATTGTGACGCAAAGGATGTCGTCACAGTAGTATGTAGAAAAGCGCCGAATTCCAAGTTCCCTGTTTTCCCCAAAACTTAAAATACATTCTCTTTGTAGATTTCTATCGTGTTTTCTGCACGAACTGTATTGCCACAGATCCTTTGAATATTGTGGTAGCCGCAATTTCGTAACCTGTAATTGAAGATATATGTTTTAAAATATTTCCAACGACAATGACTGACATAAGTACTATTCCATGAATGTTAGCTTCCGTGGCGATGCGGTCGTCCAAACAGCTGTTTCAATCAGAGGCGGTTATTGTAATTTAATATCCTCTGATTCACCAATCATAATCGAGTAATTTCATGGTAGAATCCATGTTCATGACTCGTTATTCCGGAAATGTGTTTATGCGGACGAATAATTGGGGTGTTACCCTGCTATTTGGGTGCATATTTTTCAACCTTCGAACCGTAAATCTACGAATCAGCGGTAATCAGCATTCATGATTTACAGCTCGTGATTTGATTACAACTTCTAACATGGGATGAGATTGCACACCTTAATATTAAATACGACACACCTTAGGATGCGTATTCTTGTAAAAGGTAAATTATTAACTGTGTTTGTGAAACGGTATTATCTTGGTATGGTCAGAGTGTATTATGACTTAACGAAAACACTGATTGAGTGACCTGGATTAAACGCCACTTTAAAAAGTATTACATTTATGCCACGGCTCGTCAGGTTGATGTGGATGCAAACCCGTCAGCCACCCTAGTGCTGATGTACCGAGAATCACGATCAGGGCAAATTCGGGATTCATACCTACGCTCATGGGATTCTGGCAGCCCAAGGGATGCAACATGGAACACAGAAAACCTAGTCACTTTCATGTCTGCTGAAATATGATGCCTTTTTGTGTATTTGGTTCAGCTGCAGCCTGTAAGCATGCAAGGTATTGTACTTTATACTTGTACTTAATACTATACATCCATTGTTTGTTGTTTAACGCCACATTCAGCAATATTCCAGCTGTGTAACGGCGGTCTTCAAATAATCGAGTCTGGACCAGACAATCCAGTGTTTGACATCGCGGCCAGCGATCCAGGGTACTGGGATACGATGACATGCATCAAGTCAGCGGGTCAGACCACCCGATGCCGTTAGTCACCTTTTTCTCGTCCCTCGTTGTTAAGCTCAGAGCGTTTCGGCCACCCCTCGACATTAGTGCACCCATTTCGTCTTATACATACACAGTAAAATGTGAGTTAGCAGACAAAAACGAAAATGGTATTTGAATGACTTTAACATAGATGTAGCTTCAACTTCCTATTAGCTGCTTGCTACAAGAGACTACAGAGAGTATTGTGGTCGCATGGCGTATTTCACCTGTTAGATGGGAACACTTACACGTAACCATTAACAGAAGCAGTCCCGAGGGTGCACCTGAAATAGCTGCAAGTAACAATAATATTTCACTCATCGCGAGACTGTGTTATTTGGGTCTTTGACCTTCAACACAAGGTTAGCTGAGGTCATCGGAGCCGACCATACTTCACGCGAATAGACAGCAACGTTCATTATGTTTAACTTGTAATCGTTCAGGACGACGCTTAACAGTTTGAGAGAAACGTGACATGAATGATTGAGAGCGGGGATTCGAACTCACTTTGGAAAGTCCTTAAAGAATCGGCACCAATGGTCGTCAATAAAAGTATGGCGCCGGGCCGATGATTTGTGGCTTATACAGCATATGAAACGTGTAGCCGTTCAATCTGACTGAAACCTCGCTTTTGTTTGATTATGCTATCGCAGTGGAACTCTATGAGCTTCATAGATCCTCGGTTCTAATACCATCATAAACACCTACTTACACACACGATAAATCGGACGTTAATGCGCCATAACTCAGAAAAGCTCACTTCGGTATTGGCGATTGGTTCCGCGCTTGTAAGCAAAGGGAGATAAGTACTCTTTGATGGCGAGTACATTTCTGTAATCGTACAATCTGTTTACAGTGGATGGATTGGGGACGTGTTGTAGCCTGATAAACGACCGAACACGGTAGTGTGCTTATCTGAGTCAATGTTGCCACCGTGTCACTCCTCTTACACAAACTGAGAAGTGAGTCGGTGTTCTTTGTAATGGCCGTGCGCGTTTACCAATAACCAGTGCAACCAGTAACATTGGTATGTTTGTTAACAAGGGCGGATCCAGCATTTATAAATGGGAAGGGGCAAAAATATCAAAATCCTCTCTCAAATAGTTTTACTGCCAACAACATACTACGAGGGCTGGTCAAAAAGTTCAAAGCCTAACAAACAAAACCAACAATTGTGAAAGTGCTTTTAATTATATTTTTCAACATAATCTCCCTGCTTTTCAATACACTTCGCATATCGATAGAGAAGCTTTTCAATTCCAGTCAGGAAAAAGTTGTCTGAAGCCACCCTGAAAAATCTATTCACGGCAGCTTTGAAGTCATCGTTGTCGTCATAGCGCTTTACACGAAGGTGTTGTTTCAGTTTAGGAGACAGGTGGAAATC